CACAGTCTGGGAATCCCATCATCTGTGTACAGCACAGCCTGGGAAACACACCATCTATGTGTACAGCAAAGCCTAGGAATCACACTGTCTGTGTATAGCACAGCCTGGGAAACATACCATCTATGTGTACAGCACAGCCTGGGAAACATACTGTCTGTGTGTATAGCACAGCCTGGGAATCCCACTGTCTGTGTGCACAGCACAGCCTGGGGATCACACCGTCTGTGTGTACAGTACGGTGTGCACCCACACCTCTCCTCTCTAATGATTTAGTTGTCCATAGTTCATTTGAAACAATGGCACGTGGAAGGAGCTTGGTGTTCACAAGGCCTTTATTGTTTCTTTTCTCCTCACCACTTCCCTAGGTCCTGTGAGACCAAGGGAGGTGGGTCTGACTGAGCTCATACTTGGACTTTGTCTTTGCTATGAAAACCAGCTGCCTTGGACTTGTCACCCAAATGCTGACTAGGAGAGACCTGGAGGCTGGTTTAGAGCAGCTTCAGCAGAGAAGAATCTTAATATAAACAGGACCTCTGCATGACCTGAAGGGCTTTGAAGACTGATGATGAGTATGGCTTCAGCACTGTCAGACCAACCTGGGAGAGTACTCAAAGGAAGTGGGTCAGTATAGGAATGTCTCAGCCAGGCCACTCCTCCTACCCCAGCCCTCAAAGTGGTATGTGGAGCTCACTGTTGGGGGTACTCTGAGCACATTTCACTGAATGTTCCTTTATCTTTCTCAGACTGTTCTGCATTAGAACTGCTTGCTCAAGGCTATGTAATAATTAAAGCACACTGAGAACTTTCCCACAAAGTTTCAGAAAAAGGGTTTTGCTATAAATAAACCAGCTTGGGACCCAGTGTTTTGGCCAGATGGGCTCTTAATCCTTAAGAATGGTTGCAATTTAGGCAAACCATTCTTTTAAAAGACTTGCATTCCTGTCTTGTCCTCCTGAGAGCTCAAGGCACCTTACAGGTACTATCTTGTTATCTCAGAATTCTTATGAGGTAGAGAAGCTCCATTTCTCTAAACAAGGCCTGAGGCCCAAGACTGCTGCCCAAAGCCTCCAAGAATAAAGATGAACAGAGCTTCACTGCCCACCTTCAGTAATTTCTCCTTGCAGCCAGCTTCATTTTGGCTGGCTAGAGGGAAATCTAGTTCCTCTCTTTCCAGCTGGCTATTGCCAGATCATCTGCTCTGACACTCTGGGCTCTGGCTGGGGATGGGAAGAGGTGCTGTGGATGCCCAGTTGTGCTCCAAGTCTGCCCGGCTACCTGCTCCTCACCCTCTCCCACAGGCTTTAAAGGAAGGGGACAAGGAAGCTGGGACAAGAGAGCCACGAACAAGGATGATTTGCTCCTGCCTGCAAGACAAGGTCTGATAGTCACGGGGGTAGTAGGAAATAGTGGGATGCTATTCTAGTAGATGACAAAGATAAGTAATTTCACATAAAATATCCAGATGTCTAGCATTGTTAGAAAATCCAGAAAACTTGGCCACTGGACTCACATAGTTGCAGGCCATACTTGCTAGAGTAGAGGACAGGCTGTCCCCTTGGGTCAGGCAGGGGTGACCCCCCGTCCACTGCAGCCCCCATCTAGCCAGCTCTACTCATTATGATGCCCATGTGACACTGTCATGCCATGTGCCCCACCCTGAACTGAAAGACACTGGACTGTCTTTGTCATGTTGGTCCTTGAAGTGTGAAAGATTCCTCGTGAGAACTACACCACTTAGTATTGTATTCCTTAAATAAGCCTTTGGGTTTATTGAACCTCTGATTACCTGCACTGAAACTATTCAACGTTATGTACACATAACAGAACTGAACAATATACACTTGAAAGCATCGTGTATTTTGGTCTGAGTGTGCTAAGTGATTACCGAGAACGTGGTTTGTTAGAAGGAGGAGTAGACAAAGCAAGTGTGCCTTTCTGTAGACAGAGTGATGGGCTATCCCTCGTCAAGAGTCACTCATCCTGGACAGGAGGAGGGTTCATGGTGGTTACCAGGTTACCAACAGGAGGAAGATCTCTGGAGAGTCTCACCTTCCTAGTGAGCTGCCTGACCTGCCCGGGAGTCAACTCTTTTTCATCTGGATGAGCCTATGAACTTGACTCTGGCCTCCAGTGTCTCCAATTCAGCCCCACATAACCTGACACCTACACTTCCTTCCATTCTTCTTTCCCAGAGTGGGATTTATCAGCACACCTAGGGACTGTTTCACCGAGAACTTGAGGGAATCCAACCAATGGCAGCTAAAATGCTCCCTCTATATGTTAATTCCTCCAGATGTGAAAGACAGAACTGTGCATCCTACACTGGTTTGTTTGGAAGGCGTGAGACTGATGGAGGTGGGAAGAGAGTGCCTCCAAGTTAAAGACAGATTGCCGCTACTCCATAAAGATGGAAAACTCTAGTTTTAGACTTCTGATGGTTAAAATGTGAAAGTTTCAAACTAAAGCAGGGGAGAAAATTTGGGTGAAGAAGAGGATAGAAGTGTTTTTAGAGGTAGTGTCTAGGGGCAAAATTCTCTAATGTGTTGAGTGGTGGAAGTGGAAAGGGAGGTTATTTGGGATCTCATCTCAGCTTTATCTGAGAAATCCAGGACATTTCTGTTTTGTGAGTGCTTGACTTGGGTTTCTCAACTGAGTGGATGTGCACCTCTGATAACTGTCCCCCCTCCCCCATGCCTTAAGAAGAGGCACCTTTTCTAAGACCTTTCTTGAAGACTTTACCCTCAGGGGCTCAGTGGTTACCTTTTAGAGGGGCTGAACATTACCTTTTGGGAAGGCTGAGCACTAGTGGCTTGTTTACCAGGCTGGCCTCACTAAGCCAAGGAACCTTTTCAAATTTTGGAACAGAAGGCTGGAGAGAAATGGAAAAAAGATCATTTTTCAGAATTTATCACACTTGACCACTGCTATCATTACAATGACCAAAGCTAGCTGAAGTCAAAGAGCAGTTAACACTTCATTTTCCTATTTTATATTTGATTCTTAAAACTATCCCCTAAAGTAGCCAAGAGCAGGCTCCGTTTCACAGATGAAGAAATCAAAGCTCAGACAGCATGACTGGCCCTGAATCACACAGCTAGTTAAGGGGTTCACGTTTTCTTTCATTTCCACTATATCCTGTGTTTCACTTTGCTGCTTTATTACTTCCATCTGTTTATATATCCTCTAATATTTCCATGAACGCAGCTTAATGTTAGCAATCTTCTGTCCCAAGCCTCTGGCTATGCTTAGAAGCAGGGCCTTCCACTCTCAAAGAAAGAACCAACCTTTGAAGCTATAGACAACAGCGTATCTCTTTCTGTTTGTGTACTTTCCAGATGCCTGGCTATGGACAAATTTCAACTTCTTTGAGCTTCAGTTTTGCCCACTATGAAAAGGGAGTTGATGTTATCATGTATAGGTCAATGCACAAGAGAGTTCCCTGAGAACAGGGATTTTTGTCTGTTTACTGCTGTATCAGGAGCACCAAAACCAGGGCTGATGATACCCGCAGGTATCTGTCTAATGAACGGGAGGCCCGGGAAGTCCCTAGCTGAGAGCCTGGCTGTTCTTAGGTTTCTTGGCCCAACCTCTTTCCCTGTCCTCTCTTGCCTTACCCAGCTATTTGCCTGGCAATGCCTGTCTTTCTGCCGCGGATTTGCTCTCCGAGGCGGTGAGTCGGCCGGTCTCCGGGAAGGGCAGCGCGCAGGGCCTCCGAGACGCCGGCAGGGGGCAGCAGCGACCTCGCGAGGCCTCGGGCCGCGGCAGGTTGTTGCGGACCCGGAAGTGCCCGGCCGCCATCGCAACCCCCGGCGCCCCGGATGGGGAAGGAGGCCGGCGGCTGCCCTTCCCTGGCCGCGCACCCCTAATAGCTCACCGGTAGGTGGGTTCGGTGTGGCCGTCAGTGTTTCCTGGCCTCCTCCTCCTCTGCTATTCCCCGCAGGCCCGAGGCTGGGGGAGCGGCGGCGGCGGCGGCGGGTGGGGGGAAGTCCGGAGTGAGAGGGCGCCCCTGTGGTCACCCTACCCTACGGTTCCTACCCTTCCTACTCTCGGCCAGCCCTGTTTCCGAACTTGCGGGCGATCGTGTCCTTTTTGGAGCTATAGACCCTCCAGCCTCTGCAACAGCCCTTGAGATCCCCGGGCGGAGGTCCCGGGCCCAGTGAAGGGGACTCCCAGGGTGTGTGGCTTGCAAGGCAGGACCTGTCGTGGTCTCGGAGGCAGAAACAAGACCCGGCAATGGATTTTTTTTTTTCCTCTCAGATTTGCTGGCCTGGGCATTTCTCATTCTTAGTTTCCCAGTATGAAAAAGGGATGCTTGACTTTTGAGTAGAATGACGGCTCTTTGAAGGATATTAAGCTCAGTTACAATGATGCTCTTTAAAGTTTAATTTTAAGTTTAAGTTTAATTACCAGATGAAAGATCTTTACTTTCTTAGGGTCTTTGCTTCTGGTTATATAAACCTTAGAGCTCATGCCCTTCAGTGTTGTACTGGTCACTGTTGTCTTTAGATAGGTAACTTAAAAAAAATTACATACCTTGGATACCCAAAGAAAACTATATGTTCTATCCCTATAAATTTTCATCAGCCACAGACATGGAGGGCTACTACATGATTCCCTGAGTAAAGATGAGGCATAGGCTTTAGGGTCAGAATTTGGGTTGAATTCTGGCATCACTCAGTTTTAATGTCCCAAATTATAAGATGGTCACCGCATACATTTTGCTCAGACTTTTAGTAAAGGGGGTTGATTTGATTTTAACTCAGTCCTGGGACCTTTCACAACTTCCGTTGGGTTCATAGTCTCTCTTTTTCTAGGAACTTGGCTGTGTCGTCCTGCCTCAGAGAACAAACTCATCTATTGCAGGCCTAGCCTGGGTTGCTGCCTTTGAAAACAAGGAAAGGCCAGTAGAGTATCAACCACAGCATGAGATTTCCAGAGAGGTCTGATTTCAAAACATGATGAAGAACGAGAACCACATGGACCTCTGCGAAGGAGATTTGACTGACCCAAGCTTACAGGAAGGGATGATGTGTGCCCAACCTGTAACTAACACCCAGGAAGCTAAGTGGCAGAAGGTCTTGTATGAGCGACAGCCTTTCCCTGATAATTATGTGGACCGGCGGTTCCTAGAAGAACTCCGGAAAAACATCTATGCTCGGAAATATCAATACTGGGCTGTAGTATTTGAGTCTAGCGTGGTAATACAGCAGCTGTGCAGTGTCTGTGTTTTTGTGGTTATCTGGTGGTATATGGATGAAGGTCTTCTAGCCCCCCACTGGCTTTTGGGGACTGGCCTGGCTTCTTCACTGATTGGGTATGTTCTGTTTGATCTCATTGATGGAGGTGAAGGACGGAAGAAGAGCGGACGGACCCGGTGGGCTGACCTGAAGAGTGCCCTAGTCTTTATTACTTTCACGTATGGCTTTTCCCCAGTGCTGAAGACCTTGACGGAGTCTGTCAGCACTGACACCATCTATGCCATGTCAGTCTTCATGCTGTTAGGCCACCTCATCTTCTTTGACTATGGTGCCAATGCTGCCATTGTATCCAGCACACTGTCCTTGAACATGGCCATCTTTGCTTCTGTTTGCCTGGCCTCACGCCTTCCCCGATCCCTGCATGCCTTCATCATGGTGACATTTGCCATCCAGATTTTTGCCCTGTGGCCCATGTTACAGAAGAAACTGAAGGCGTGTACTCCCCGCAGCTATGTGGGGGTGACTCTGCTTTTTGCATTTTCAGCCTTGGGAGGCTTGTTGTCCATTAGTTTTGTGGGAGCCACACTCTTTGCCCTTCTGCTGATTTCCATCTCATGTCTCTGTCCTTTCTACCTCATTCGCCTGCAGCTTTTTAAAGAAAACATTCATGGACCTTGGGATGAAGCTGAAATCAAAGAAGACTTGTCCAGGTTCCTCAGCTAAGTTAGGGACCACCATTACATTATTAAGGCATACTGATAGGCTAGCCTCCTAAGTAGTAGAAAATTTGAAGATAGAGTTACATCTGGAAGCAGCATGCTTATGTTAGTGAGAGAACAGAGATCAAAAGAAAAAGTCAACCAAATGCTTGGGTGGTGAAGGTGCTTATCCTTTATTATTTTGTGGATGAAAAAGCTTTCTGGGTCCCTCTTGAATTATTGACTCTCATTTATTATTTGCAGTGACAAATGAAGTAATGTGGTCTCTATTAAAAAATAACAACACCTCTATCAAGTTGTCTCATGATTTTTCTGTAAGCTGGAAATGGACAGAAGGTCACGAGGAGTGAAGAGAGAATAGAAGAGTGCGTGTATCTGTGTGTATGTACAGTCACTTCTCCCTACGCTTTTCAGTGTACTAATGCAGCTTTTTTATTTTATTATTTTTTTTTACCTAGAGCTCAAATACTAGAACACAGGATGCTGCGTCCAGTTTTATTGCCTAAGATCACAGAATCTCGGTCACTTAACCTTGACGCAGAGTTTCTACTTAGTTCTTACTGAAGCATGTTCACAGCTAACCACAAGGAAGAGTGTGTGATGTGTCATAACACACAAGCAGAAGGCTAAAGGAATTCAAAGAGACTTGGGGATGAAGTTCCACTAGAGTATTGAGGAAATACTTACAAGAGGAGGTGATATTTGAGCTTAGTCTTGGATGGGATGTAAGTATTTAAAGATGGTTTTAGGGCAATGTGTCAAAGGCCCTTATGGATCATATGAGTCATGGAAGCTAGTGAAGCTAGCACACTTTGTGTGACTCAAACACGGGAGAGAGTGTGCCCGGTCCAGTGAGGGCAAATGATAATTAGCTCCAACTGCTGTTTTCATTCACAGCTTGGGCCTAGCTTCAGACCTTTATTTTTGATGAAATTCTAAATAAAATGCCCATAACATTAAATCTGATTTTTAATATGAAACGACTTGTGAATACTGTTGCAAGTTTAAATTAGACCAAAAAACACGTTTGTAGGCAAAACACCACTACTCCCATGCCACATGGGTTGTTAGCCCAGGCGCAAAGATGGGAAAGCGTTTGATGGGAGTACAGAGATATGGGGATTTTGGGAAGCGGGCATTAGGACAAGTTGGAATGGGAAGTTTGAGTAGCGATTTGAGGTCTGTGTATATTTAGTCATTTGGGCTCTATACTATAGATTATGGGCAAGAATCCAGCTTGTCTAAGGAGGAAGTAAAATGTCAGATCTTGAGTTAGTGACCTGCTGTCTGAGTTTTCATCTGTAAAGTGGGCATAAAAATATCCACCTCTAGAGTTGTGATTAAATGAGATACATGCAAAGTACTTTGAAGAATGCCTGACACGGCCCCATGTCAGTGTGAGCCATGGAAGAAAACCCGGCAGAGACAAAGTGCAAAATGCACCAGGTGCCTCCAAAATAACAGGTCCCCTCTGGGGTGATTCACTGGGGATGAGTTTCTGTGCTGTCCCCGTATCACTAGAAATTAATTTAAAATCAGAAATTTCTTCAGGGGAGTGGTATTCCTAAGAAGTAATGTTTTTATTTCTCTGAACGCAGATTTCTCAAAAATGTCTGGAAAAGGGTTTTGAACTAGCGCCTTCAGCCCTGTCAACTCACATTCTTTTTTCTGATTTTTATTTTGGCAGATGATGATGTTTCACGACAGGAATGGTAGTTCTCCCTAAGGTCAGTTAGACTGCTTTCACCTATCCAAGGACACTGGCGGATGGAGAGGGAAGGGTGTCAGAGGCTGACTGTGGAGCCCAAGGCAGGTGTCTGCTGTCCTGTACTGGGTTTGGCCTTCTCATGGCTCAACAGTGGCCAGAAGTGGCTCCTAATTCTTCTGTGTCTGCATCAGGAATAAGGCTAGGTCAAGGGTAGGGAAGAGGTGTTTAAGATTGTGCCTTCTGTTTTCATGTTTTGCTACATTTGCCTCATTTCAATGTGTTTCCGACTGTCAGCTTTCAAAGCACTCACCAAGCAACTGCATGAGTGTTGATGAGCAGAAAGTTCCCCAAATTTTCAAGAATAGTTCCTCAGTGGGGTGATTTAATATATGTGTGCCATCATTTTCAGCTCTTCCCTGTCACACTGTAGTGCCACCCAAGTCCTGATGGTATTTCAGGTTGTAGAAGTTCAGTGCAGAGGTGGTGGAGGGTGGGGAGTTGTGGGGTTGATGGGAGAGTGAAGGGCGAGGCAGCAAACTCGATTCATAAAGAAAGGTGGTGGCTACTGGGAGAAGGACATGGCCAGAGGGAACAGTATGTGCCAAGGTGTGTAGACCTGAAGTAATTAAGCACAGGGTGAGAGCTGAGGTCTCTGAGTGCTGCGTACTTTGCACTATTGTGTCCTATGGCCAGCTGCAAATTAAGGGGCTTTTGAAAAGGGATGTAGTAATACTATATAGATAGATGATAGTTCACATAGAAGTAAAGTATATAAAAAGTGTATTTTACATACAAATATACACAGTGTATGTCATTCATATGTATGTATTTGTAGATATAGATAGATAAATAGGTGATAGGCATACCTCAGAGATACAGTGGGTTTTGTTCCGGACTACTACAATAAAGCAAGTATCACAATAAAGTGGATCTCATGAATTGTTAGGCTTCCAAGTGCATATAAAGGTTAGGTTCACATTAAACTGTAGTCTTAAGTGTGTGATAACATGTCTAAAAAACCAATATATGCATCTTAATTTATAAATACTTTATTACTAAAAAATGCTAACAATCACCTGAGCTCTCTGAGGGTTGGAATCAATCTTTTTGCCGGTCGAAGCTCTTGCCTTGGTATTAACATCTGCTTACTGCTCAGGGTGGTGGGTGCCAAAGGCTGGGGTGGCTGTGGCAATTTCTTAAAATAAGAGAACAAGGAAGTTGCTGCATCCATCTTCACAGAACATTTCTCTGTAGCACGTGATGCTGTTTGGTAGTATTACAGTCATAGAATTCTTTTGAAGTTGGGGTCAGTCATCTCAAACCCTGTAACTGTTTTATCAACTAATTTTATTCTGACTCCTTTCTTGTCATTTCAACAGAGTTCACAGCGTCTTCGCCAGGAGTGGGTTCCTTCTCAAGAAACCATTTTCTTGGCTCATTCGTAAGAGGCAACTCCTCCTCTGTTCAAGTTGTACGTGAGACTGCCGCAATTCAGTCACATCTTTAAGCATCACTTAATTCTAGGGTTCTTTTGTTTGTTTGTTTTATTACTTCCAACACATCCGCAGTTACTTGCTCCACTGAAGTCTTGAACCCTTCAAAATCGTCCATGAGGGTTGGAATCAACATCTTCTAACTCCTGTAAATGTCAATATGTTAACCTCCTCCCATAAGTCATGAATGCTCTTAATGGCATCTAGAATGGTGAATCTTGTCTATAAGGTTTTCAAATTAATTTACCTAGACCCATTAAAGGAATCATTCTACATGACACCTGTAGACTTAAGAATGTATTTCTTAAATAATGAGACTTGAGAATTGAAATCCCTCCTTGATCTGCGTGCTGCAGGATGGGTGTTGTGTTAGCAGGCATGAAAACAACTTTGATCTCCCTGTAGATGACCATCAAGTACTTGTATGGCTAGGCCTGTTGTCAATGAGCAGTAATATTTTGAAGAAAAATTCTTTTGGTCTTTGTTTGGCTTAAAATATGCATTAAACCGTGCTCTTGACTGATGTGCTATCATCTCAGGCTTTGTTGTTTCATTTCTAGAGCACAGAGTACATTTAGTATGAGTCTTAAGGGACCTGGGATTTTAAGAATGGTAAATAACCATTGGCTTCAACTTAACATGACCAGCTGCATTAACCAAGACCAAAAGAGTTAGCTTGTCCTTTGAAGCTTTGGAGCTGGGCACTCACTTCTCCTTATCTATGAGAGGACTAGAGGTCATCTTCCAACAGAAGGCTGTTTTGTCTACATTGAAAATCTACTAGGCTTGACGCCTATGGCTCAAGTGGCTAAGGCGCCAGCCACATACACCTAAGGTGGCGGGTTCAAATCCAGCCTGGGCCCATGAAACAACAATGATGGCTGCAACCAAAAAATAGCCAGGCGTTGTGGTGGGCGCCTGTGGTCCCAGCTACTTGGGAGGCAGAGGCAGGAGACTCGCTTGAGCCCAGGAGTTGGAGGTTGCTGTGAGCTGTGATGCCACAGCACTCTACCCAGGGGGACAGCTTGAGGCTCTGCCTCAAAAAAAAAAAAAAAAAGAAAAGAAAAGAAAATCTACTGTTTGTTGTCGCTGATCTTCATCAATCAGCTTAGCTTCTGGATTTCACCAGCATGTGCTGGTTCACGTTGTATTTTTATGTTATAAAGACAAGTTCTTTCCTTAAGTCTGTGAACCAACCTCTGCTAGCTTCAAACTTCTGAAGCTTCTTCACCTCTCTCAGACTTTATAAAATTGAGGAGAGTTAGGGCCTTGCTCTGGATGAGGTTTTGGCCTAATAAGAGAATATTGTGGCTGTTTGGATCTTCTATGCGTCCAGACCACTAACACTTTCTCCATATTGGTAATAAAGCTGTTTTGCTTTCTTATCATTTCTGTGTTCCCTGAAGGAGCACTTTTGATTTCCTTCAAGAACTTTTCCTTTGTATTCACAACTTGGGTAACTGGTGCAAGAGGCCTAACCTTCAGGCTATCCTCTTGACTTTCAACATGGCTCTCTCCTTAAGTTTAATTTATTTCTCTTAAAATTTCTGCTACTCTTCCTTTCACTCAAACACTAAGGGGCTATTTGTAGGGTTATTAGTTGGCCTAATTTTAATGCTGTTGTATCTCAGGTTAGTGTTGTTGTATCTCAGGGAATAAGGAGGCCTGAGGAAAGGAAGAACAACGGGAACAGCAGGTCGGTGGAGTAGTGAGAACACTGAAAACATTTATAGATTAAATTCATTGTCTTATATTGGAATGGTCTGTGGAACCCCAAAACAATCCCAATAGTAATACCAAAGATGGCTGATCACAGATCACCACACCAGATATAATAAAAATAAAAACATTTGAAATGTTGAAAGAATCACCCCAATGTGACACAGAGACATGGCATGGGTACACGGTGTTGGAACAATGGCCCCGATAGACTTGCTTGATGCGGGGTTGCCACAAACCTTCAGTTTGAAAAAAAGTCAGAATTTGTAAAGTGTAATACAGGGAAGCACAGTAAAGTGAGGCCTGCCTGGATATGAATGAGAGTTTTGGCAGCAGTTTCGAGGCTGAACTATGAGGGCTAAGCATGTAGAATTG